CCCTTCAGAATGATGGTTACAATCGGGTATAAAACACGACACGCAGTTAATGTTACCAGAGCATATGATTGTGTAGAACCAGTGGGCTCGTTGTCATGCCACCGTGACGTCATCACTTCGGTACTCTGTATTCGGAGCATTGTCTGTGCGGCTGGTGGGGTCTGTGAGGCGCTCCCGCTCTCTCCTGATGCTGCTTCGATTAAGTTTCCGCCGACAATGGCATGGGTACGACTGAATGCAGGAAACCCGAGTGCACTGCTCACGTCGTGTGCCTGACGTTACTGATCATCTGTCACGTATTCTGCAGTAAGAGAGAAGCTTCTGCTTTCTTCTATCCGATGCATTCATATATTCTGTGCAACCTATTATATAACACTCGTATATGCACTGATATTTTGGAGAAAGCTTGCAGAATAAAAGGAAATGGTTGGATGAAATATTTCTGCCCCCCCCCAATCCATCTGCTTAACATGATTATAGCAAAGGTAATTCGACGGCCCAAAAAATTACACACAGAATATCACACATGGTGTTCCACTATAATATTATTATAACTGTTATGGAAAATTACGCATAGTGCACACGTGCGCATAGCGAAAGTAATGAAGTTATTTAAAAAGTCAATAAGGTTTGGTTTCGCAGCAGCAACTGACTGCGGTCAACTTCTTCTTCTTGGGTGACTACACTACACGCGACATAGCCACTGCAGCACACAGGAGCTGTGCGCTGACAACGGCGTAAATGTTGCGTGAAGATCAACGTGAGCGGGTCTATAACTTTGCGTAGATTCACTCCACTTCTTGCGATCCAACCACAGCCTCGTTTTCTCGAGTGGAAACCTGCAGGGCTAAAGCGGCCAGTTGATACAGTAAATGAAATCTAAGAAATGAAATCCCAGGAGCTGGTTGCGGTGGAAACACCGGAAACCTCTCATCCACAACTAAGTGGTACAATACAATAAAACAGCCTTGCTTTAGATGTTACTGCAGATATTTAAATACAATAATGCTGCTTTAATATATAATCTAGTTCAAGCAACAACAACGAATAAATCAATGATGAACCTTTGATTCCAACGCCCAAGTCACGTTCAGTGGACTAATCATCTTATAAGATTAATCTCCTTATCTTAACCCTAATTGAATTGAATTAATAATCTGAATCCTTATCGAGGTAATATCTACTACAGTGCTTATTACTAGCAGTGAAGGAAACTAGTACAGCCTCCCACCCCCACCACACACACACGACCACCTGCGCGCGCTGTGCTGTGAATGCAGCGCGAAGAGAAGAAACGACAAAGAAAGACGGTAAGCCTCTTAGAGTAAGCCTCCGCAAATTGCATTATTTCGTCCCTAGAAAAGGCCTTTTTGGCATTTTTTCGCCAAAATTCGGCACTAGACAGGGGCGGATTCAGACCGTATTTGCCGTATTGGGAAATACGGTCTAGATTTCAAAGTGCCCTTCGAAATTTTGCGCTAAAAAATACAGAAAACAATTTGATGGAATTTGGCTATATTCTTTATTTGTTTTCTTTTTCTTCTGATTCATTGACAGGACTTGAAGAAAATTAAAAT